TCTCACATCAACGTATTTCCTAATCTATTAATTTCGATAGGCTCTCTTATCTTTCTTTTAAACACAGACGTACCATAATCAGCAGTAAGATAGAGCCGAATAGTGCTCTTGCTTTAGTGTTGACGTGAGACTTTTACAAGCATGAAACCCATCTTTGATGATGTCCATCATCAGTTTCCACCCGAAACGAGGGAGGAAGTCTCGTGGACTACGTCAACATGAATATCGTATCTACGATACTATTGAACTTCACTTTGCCTTCTTCCCAGCTTTACTCATTCAGGCTAGACTGCAGTTTCAACCTCGCCTCGGCCTCATTTTCATCCTTAGCAGGCTTTCAAATTGAACCGAGATCATCTTGGCATGGTAGGCTTTTCCCAAGTCATATCTATCGTGGGATTGCCGACGAGGCAAACATGTGTTGGCGTTCAGAGTCAACATGTTTTGAAATTATCATTAATTGTTGAATAAGAAATTGAAATTCCTCTATTAATATGACTCAAGAGGAGCATTGCTTGTCGTCAAATTCCGTTTTGAGCGCTGATGCGACCTAGATGACTTCAAAACCGAGATGATAAAATCCGTTTTGGTAGCAGGGTCAGGGGAAATAGGTGTCATAATATGAGTTGTGTTCACTTGGTGATGAAAGACTGGTAGTTGAATTTTCCCGCAATGATATGCGTAAAACTGATATTTCCCATTGAATTTCCCAAAACGTCTTCTCATATGTCATAATGTTTTATACTTATTTATTATTTATCTGACTAGTGAACCCATAATACAGGAGCCCTGACCTGAGAACGATGGATGAAATCGAAGATAAAAGAATCGTATACAGAGATTGTATGCATTAGTATTATATATGTAGTTTGTTTGCGTATAAAAGATGAGTCATCTACCAGAAACTGGCCAACAGACGGTGAGCCAATTGTGGCAGCTACAGAGAAGACGTCACGTTACACTGAGAAACGGCGCTGATTCGTGTAAGTCTGCGCGGCTTCTCTTTGCTACTTCGGAGCAACTACGGTTCTGTTATCATAAACATGAACTTAACTAAACAGTCGTCAGGGCACTTTGTTTGGCATACCATGCTGGGCAGTCTTGGTCTTTATGAGGTGGAGATCCGACCGAGTTTGCCATGAGGAAGATGCAGATATTGCAGATGATAGAATTGCCGTTTAATAGCCCAGATCCTTAGCAAGTGCTAAGGGAGTTGCCTTGGACGGTCCTGTGATTCACAATTAGCCCATAGTCACCTTAACTACCATTATTATATTATTTGTTGACTTTGAAATTCCAGAAATAAAACTGTTAAATTGATCAGCTTCGATAATAGTAACACTCAAATTATGGCTCTTTTCTGCACAATGTGTTGTACTAACTCCAATGTCGTTAAGCAGAGAGAGCACATACTAAAGGCAAACTTGATGGCGATTTAACCCTTTTCAGGTTAAAGGGAGGCAGGTGTCCGCCTGGTGGTCAGATCTTGTTTCCGCGGCAAGTTCTGAGGAGAGCAGTGAACCGGAGGAGGAGCCTGAAGAGTTCGAAGATGTCGGCAGTGAAGAAAGAAGTGTCGGTGACAGGAATGGCTGTGATCGAGCTTCGTTAATGAAAGGCTTTGGACAAATAATGCATCATGGACAAGAATTATGGCAGCCCATCGATGTCGAGCAAGGAGATTCTGATGCAGGTTGGGATTATTTCCATTTTTTGTGTTAACTCCTATTGCATATACCAGCTAAAATTACTCTATGGCAACAATTCGTACCTCCATTTATGGAAAACGAAAATATTTATCACTCTGTTTTTTTGTTTCATGAATTAATGAACTCT